CGTGCCTGCCACCCTGTAAAAACATGCAATCAGTAAGAAAACTGCCAAAAAGAGCCTATATCTATACTTAAAATATCGAGTAAGAATATATATCATGATACGTGAGAGTAACATATATTTTTCAGCCAATTAACTAGATACAAAAATATTGAGGGACTGAAAACGATATCTCTCCCACCCACATTTTTATCGACAGGTAACACTAACATATATATACAGTACTGATACACTAACAAAGAATTCTGTGAAAGAAACTTAAAATAGACGCACACGTATTAAACTGTCAAACACCAAGCGGTCACCGGTGACCGCAACCTATTGTTCTATAATTGTGTCTATAATGACGGTACTCGACGAGTTAAAGCGTTAGTTTTCAATTAAAGTTTTGTGTCATTACATACGAACATACACAAAAAGGAAAGAAAGAAAGAAAAACCGTTTATTACGCCTCAACACACATGCATACCACAATACAATAACCATAAAAAGAATATTATGGCGCGTCGCAGCGCAAAAGGCTGGAACTCAGCTTAATGCTGTCGCCCGGGCGCAAAGGCTCGAGTCCATAGCGCTGATTTTCAGCACATACATATTATTATACATACATAACCTTACGTCTGTCTTCCACGGGGTTAGGCAGAGACTATGGAACGCCAATTGCTACGATTCTTACATACCTCTTTCGCTTCATCAACTGTTATCCGTCTTTTCATGCATATTCATCGGTTAAGGGTACTTTTAATTTGACCCTTTTTTAATATATCACCAGTCTGGTCGGTATACTATGTTCGTCTAGGGCGCGCCCTACCGGCGGTCCCATTCATATCCGCTCTGTATACTGCTTTCGCAGACAACGACAGAAATTTCGTAAACAACAAATATTTACGAACATATTTCACAAAGGGCACTTTCATACACGCCTTTAATCCACCCAACCTATTTAACACCTAGTTTTCACCACTGTGAGCCTATTGTCATATACCGGACACAATTTCATACCCTGTTCTATTGAACATTTTCGAAAGACTGAACAAATAAGCCTCACGAGCTTTACTGACCAAATAAATTCGACACTACTAGTAGTACGATAAGCGATTCAGAAATCCAACTCAGTATCCAAAATGGTCAGTAGGTACTTCCGTTAACAAACCTTGCGAGCATCCTACTAAAGGTCATAATCGGCATCGCTCCAACCCGGCACTAAACCAGCAAAGAACTTGACATTTAATATTGAACTTTAAACCGTAAGTATATCGTTTGACATATTTCAGAACGGCTTAGGCACAGCTTTTTATTTTGAATATAGAACTTAAAGTAAGCGTGACGCTAGCGCGCCGCCCGCGCGCCGCCCGCGCGCCGCCCGCGCGCCGCCCGCTCGCCACCCGCGCGTCGACAGCGCGCCAACTGCGGACTGCGAACGCAAAAACCGCCGAGCCGGAGCCGTGCTAGAGCCGTGCCAGAGCCGAGCCGTTAATATGTGCGATGTCCTTAATACAGCGTTCTGAAAATAAATATATCTCTTTAACTTTTTAAGCGTTTAGTTAAATATCGCTTATTCGTTATAGTTAAATAATAAATTGCTCCCTATTAGCCCCTAGCGTGCGGCAACAAATCGAAAAAATAGTACCCAAAATTAATGAATAAGGCAGTCGTGTAGGGTAGTCGTGTTAATAAAACGAAAAAATCATATTAGTTCTCTGTCGCAGAAATACGACACGAACGCTAGAGACACGGAAATATTTGCCGCTTATATGCGACAAAAACGGTAAAAAGGTTTATATTTTAAGCTAAAACAACAATTAAAATCACATTCCCAAAATAACATAGACATTATTATGCGTTACAAAAACATACAACACAAATTCTTTACTAATTAATAATTACATTTTCATTAATTAAAGGAGGAAAACGGTTGCTATGGTAACCGCAGGATGGAATTTTCCACTCTGAAAACTCGTTATTACAGTAATATCAGGATGTGGCGTGAACTAGAAATCCTTGTAGATGCAACCCACGTACGTTTTATTGTGAAATAAGTTCTAACTAGCTCATTTCGAAGACTCGTTTTTGCTTGCTGTACAAAAAGTATGTCAATCAATTATACATCCTCATTATTGCAGCTTAGGTTTGACTTTTGGTCAACTAACACAAAACGTGATGTTTTATTTTCTCTGGCGGTCACTTTTCGTTTTTGTTATACATTGTGTAAATTATTTGCTCGTTTTTGTTTTCATTGAACGAGCAGATGGATCACCTGATGGTAAGCAATTGGCGCCGCCTTTAGATACCAAAAATACCACAGGCGTTAATAGTACAAGTGCGTTGCCGGTCCTTTGATGGTTAGGAATTTGAGAATATGGTATTTTACAACTAATCAAATTCAAATCTTTATCGAAACGTCTAAAACGATATTGTTCTATGAATTTTGTACCAAAAACTAACTTATGACGTCATCATATTTTCGAGTCTAATAGCACACTTATTTCTGAAAAAATTGCTAGAATAAATCGAAAATTACGTTTATCGTCAAATATATGAATGAAATTGTAATTATTTTTAAATATTTAATTGGATTGAAAAATGAAAATAATTTATTTTTGACTTAGGAAAATACCCAATTGCGGAAGATTAGGAGATTGGGGCTCACTCAGATGACGAAAAACAACGCAAGCGTTGTTTCGCATCGGTTTCCTGTAAAGGCCGTGAGTCGGCCCATTCTTGCTGACAAATGGCGCTCTCACATTTATTTTCCAATATTATTATATATTTTTATTTTTAAATATATATTTCCACTTAGCTAAACACGTAAATGTCTTTAATTTAACGATTCAATTTTAAATATCGTATTCTGACGGCTACAATGATTGGATATTTGAATATTACGGCTCAGTGGTGCCAACTGGTGAGTGAAAATCGAAACGTTCATTGTGACTCGTCTTTTTAATTTCGTGGTCTGTGGGGTTTTCGTATGGTTTTAATTGTTGAAAACTCGAAACCGATAGAATGGGCTAACAACGCAGTTAGCAATTGTCCTCATCATATTATCGTATAAATAAAATATCTGGTATTATCTACGTAATTCGACATTTTTTGACAGTCTATTCTATTTATTGTATCTGCTTCCTCAAAATGAATAGAAAGTAATTACGTTCGTTAGAATACACATACAAATCTATTTCGTTTTCGTCCCGAAGCACAATGGGTAACATGACATAACATAACATCACGCCTTTTATCCCCGAAAGGAGGCAGAGGTGCACATTACGGCACTCAATGCCACTGTAATGTAACACCCACTTTTCACTATTTATGTTATGTGCCCCATGTAATAAGGGGTGAGCTTATTGCCATATACCGGGTACATTTCCAAACTCTGTGCTACTACTGAGAATTTTTTAAAAACCCGTGACCCCTTGCCCGGCAGTCGCACTTGCGACCACTCGGCCAACGAGGCAGTCACTCACAGAACTGCTAGTATATGTACAATATTTTCATAAAAATCGAATGTTTATGAAGACATAAGTACTTAAGCCTTCAAAGAGCAGTTAGACCTTTGACCATTTTAAATTAGTTGCGTCAGAAAGAAGACAGCCGTGATAGTGGTGAAACGCCGGTCCATCAAATACATATACATATATTGGGAAAAACCTTATTTTATAAACCTTATTACATATAGCTAGCATAGCTTTTGACAGGTTTAAATCCCAAAAGTGAATAAGTAATGCTATATTTATTTTATAGGTTTCAGATTCTTCTTATCTTATACTATTATATAAAGCGGAAAGTTTGTTTTTTTGTTTGTTTGTTTGAACGCGTCAATTTCCGTAACTATAAGTCTAATTTGAATAATTGTTTTTGTGTTGGATTTTTTTTTTTTAAGGGTGGATAATCATCAAATGAATGCTCCCGCCTGGGTGAGGCGGGAGGGAGTGTCAGACTCTTACTGACTAAAAACCACCCCGTTCCTTCTCCTGCACGTCGAGCCGGAGCCCCGGTTACCCGTTAGGTTCTCCGCGACATTTGTGTTGGATAGCGCATTTATCGGGGATGGCTATACGCTAAAATCCCAGAAATCGCATAAGAACGGGAACTACGGGATAAATACGGGATACTCTATCTTTTAACCTAATGTATCTATTTGAATGATATTCGACACAATAATGGTTTGCGACCTGGGAAAGAACATAGTATAGATTCTATCACTGGTTGCGGAGAACCTAACGGGTTACCGGGGCTCCGGCTCGAGGCGCAGAAGAAGGAACGGGGTGGTTTTTAATCAGTAAGAGTCTGACACTCCCTCCCGCCTCACCCAGGCGGGAGCAGTCATTCGATGATTCCCCCCTTAAAAAAAAAGACTTATACTTGTAGTTCCCGTTCTTATGCGATTTCCGGGATTTTATTCTGATACTAATAATGTTATTAAATACCTAATTCATTTAATAATATATTTTAATTCAAATTAGATGAAAGGTAGCATACCTACTTAACTATGCCAGAATATTATAGAATTTGTATTACAATTTTTGTTAGACATACTACTTTAAACTGTCAAACACCAAGCGGTCACCGGCACCGGTGACCGCAACCTATTGTTCTATAATTGTGTCTACAAAACCGGTACTCGACGAGTTAATTATTAGGTAAACGAGGGCCTCGTCAAATAATTGCGCTTTTTTCTTTTCTTTTCTTTTTTCATTTTTAAAAGAAACGTTGCCCCGCACTAAGGATTACGCCAGTGTCGTGGGTGCGTTTACAAATATGTACACAAGTTCACATACATATGACACCTATACCCGAAACGACGATCTGTGGATCACGCAAAGAGTCCGTGCGGGCGACACGTTGCATGGCAGCCAGTTCAGGGCTGTCAAATTAATTAATTTAGGCAGTCTCACGAAAGTTAAATTATAAACATAAGAGAATTGTCAAATATTCAAAGTGATTAAAAACTAGCGTTGGAAAAAATGGCCTTTAGTCACGTGCATAATTTTCCTTTGCAGACTTCCACTACTGCTGATGACCGTGGCGTATTACCAGATAGTGAAGGTGCTTTGGCGATCAGAGAAGATACCGGGACAAGCAGAAACTATCAAGTTGGCACCGGCTGAACAAAGTAAGTAGATTTAGAAGTACATCGTTTATTATATAGTCAATATAACTAATTGGTATACAAGCAACAAAACAAATATTAATTTAATACAGCGACTGTAACCGTTGGTTGATTTCTGAACAGACCAATGGTTATAGAAGATATGGCTTTGTTAAAAATATATAAATAAAAATAAATTTACATTCGCTTGTCTCGTTTGAACTTGAGAACGACTGAACCGATTTGGCTAATATTTGTCTTTAAATGTTCGTGAAAGTCCAGGGAACGTTTAAAAGGAGTTTAATCCTTGGTTTGTTGGAACACAGAGCTACACGAGACACAATGTTTTGTACTGTGTCTCATATACCAATAGTTAAGAGGTTAAAAGGTTAGAGAAAAAAATTTTAAGACGATACAAAGTTCGCCGGCTCCGGACTCGTACACAAAATTGCGATGCGAATTCGCGCAAAAAAAATAACGATACGAATAGCTGCGATGCGGTTTCGTGCGACAAGGCGTCTCCTGCGGTGACCATTCCTTTGACGACCGTCAACCCTAACAAGCGTATTTTAAATTGAAAACTATGTCGTGATATGGATCGTCGAAAGAAGTGTGATGTGAAGAATGCACATGCATAAAGTCATCACAGTCACTATAGTCACTATTTCAGGGAACTGGCACTTTACTTAAACCACACATATGGTTGTATAGAAATGCCTCAGTTCCCTACAGACCCAACCATATATATAATAATTTCTGTGGACCCAACTCTCAGAATCTCCATTTACAAATTCTTAACCTTAATTTTTTCTCTCAATGATGGAAGGTGGCGTTTATGGAATTTCATGGATAGCGATTATGAAATGTCCAAGGCATTGACCCTTTCCCATCGGTTTTGCCCTTGATTTTGGGTCAGTGTCCTTGTAGTACAGAGACCTTTCTTCCTAATTGCTAAGGAAGAATCCAATTATATGATATAATACTATTAATGTCCATTTTCGGAAAAAGTATTATCAAAAACGTCTTCTTAAGAATCGTTCCTTCATCAAAATACCAGAATTATTTACATTACACTGACTGGTGAAAGATGAAATATATGATTGAACATCACACTAATATTATAATATTATAAAAATGACAGTTTTTTTATTTTATCTCAGGAATTGATTCCGTAGTCCCATTAAGTTTTGACTTTGTATTGTCGTTACATCGTTCTCACATAAGCATAACAATAGGGTAGATGACTAATCAACCGGCTTCATTTTTATTTTAATGTCCGCCTGGTAGATTATTTAACAACATGAGATGAGACATGTATTTTTTATTTTTTTACGCAAACGAATACTTTCGAAGATATATTGATTTGAAATATCGCATGACGTCACTTTTAAGTACGATTTTTACTCAAAAATGACGTAATTACCTCCTACTCCTAAACTTTGACTCGTTCTATCAAAGTAAAAAAAATAAAAAATACGTGTCTAATATTTTTCATCACCTAACTGATGGACTAATTAGATTTTAAATTTTGTACCCTGTCATCATCCCTATATGTAAATGATCAGATAATGTGTCAATGACTGTAAAACACATTTTGTTAAAGTAACAATGGAGTTTCTTCCTCGTTCTTCTACATTCGAAACTACACTTTGGAACGAGCGCCTAGCTTCACTGACAGACAGACGGACAGTTAATTGAATTTTTGACATTTCTAAAGTGCCTAAATAAATTCTTTGACTTTTGACTTTGACTTAAAATGTTTGGTTGTTTAACCATTAACCTCTTGACTGCCGGTATATAAGACACAATAGAAAATGCTTTGTGTCTCGCGTAGATCTACGTTACGGCACACGACGGGTTAATCACGGTGAAACTATTGAACGGATTATGATGAAATTTGATATACAGGCGGAGTATGAGCGTATTTTGGTGATAGAGTACTTTTTATTCCGATTAAATGCTCCCATGGGATAAAACAGGAATACACGGACAAAACCGCGGGTAAAGGTTAGTTATAATAATAAGAATTCCAATGTTGAGTCAAAACATAGATTTGACAAAAAATTTAATAATAAAAATGTCAAATAAGAAGTCAAGTAATGCCAACTGTGTTCCTAGTAAGTACAAAAATAATAAAAAAAATAAATTATGTTCAATGGACTTAGCTAATTACGTCATCTTTACCAGAAAAAAAATCTTATCGAAAATGTCACAAACACGCTTTGCTCTATAACGAGAAAATATTGAATTAGTCGCAGACAGCCAGTTAATTAAGAAACGTAGTGTTTTTATTTATTTAGGTATATTATATGACGAATTTATACACGAATTCCCTTTGTCTTCAAATTTCAACGAGATCTGATTTAATTCGTATTTTAAGCGCTAAAAGGTCTTCATGCCTCAAAGGAGTTAGAGTGATGGAGACGAGAATAATAAACGAGCAAAATTAAATAGTAAGATGAAAGTTGTAATAGCATTCATTCACGGTCGTCGGTAACAGCAGTTTACGTCTACGTACATTGTTGCAATAAAAATAAAACAACAGTGTTTATCTAAAGAATTTTTATAGCTAAGTGTCTATAACCGAACAATTTACAATATACATTGTGGAAAAGTGTCTGTGAAACGTATTAATCAATTAAATGATAAACATTAATTCAACACTAGCGTCATAGTGATTCAAACTACCCGATAATAACAATAATAACAAAATAAAAAAAAAAAAAAAAATCTAATAATAACAAAATAATAATCGAGTGTGAATAATTGTGAGTAATGGCTAAATGTGGTGGATGTGGACAGTTCATTGCGGCGTCAGCTGGCATCCGGTGCAGCAAGTGCACGGGCTGCTATCACCGAGCCTGTGTGGGTGTACCAGCCGCGGCCACCCCCGCGCCTGGTTGGCTGTGTCCCGGCTGCAAGGCGAAATTGCCTAAGACCGACAATTCCGCAACCCCAGTGAAGAGTGCAGCAGCTGACTTCACGGAGACAAATAGTCCGCCCACCGACACCACTGCGAGTCTGGATCTGGCACGAGAGATACGGTCTTTCAGGGAGGAGTTGAGTGCGCTCCGAGCAGAGATACGCGATATGCGGCAGGAGACTGCTGACTTCAGGGCTGCCATTGGGGGCTGCAACGAGCGCATGGACGAAGTGGAGCACAGGGTGACCAACCTCGAGCAGCGCTTTGAGGCTAGGGACCCGTCACCCTACGACCACCTAGAGGAGACGATAGCTGACCTGAAACTCCAGTTAAACGAACGCGACCAGGACCTGCTGCTCAACGATGTCATCGTGTCAGGCATTCCTGAATCGAAGGCCGAGAACCCGGCACATTTAATAAAAACAGTGTCTCTGAAGCTGGGGATTGCTCTCGACGATAGGGATATCGTGAACGTCGAGCGTCTTGGCATGGTGCGGCGCAACTTTGTCACGAGTGCATCCCAAGGTGACATAACGGAGCGACCGCGACCACGCGTCATTGCCGTGCGCCTGTCTCGCCGTGCGGTCCGGGAGCAACTGATTCGCGCGGCGCGTGTGCGCCGCGGGCTCACCACTGCAGACCTCGATCTGCCCGGCCAGCCGCGGGGGGTCTACGTTAACGAGAGTCTGACTCGCTCTAACGCAAGGCTCTTTCGTACCACTCGTGAGGCTGCGCAGCGTCAAAAATTCAAGTATGTGTGGACCAAAGAGGGACGCATATACGTGCGGAAGGAGGACGGCGTATCCGCTCTTCGCGTTCGATCGGAAGCCGATATTAGAAAAATATTTTTTGGAGACGGCCCGGTTTGATTATTGAGGGTATCAATAAATACTTCCTTATCAAAATTTACCCTTTTAAAATTATTTTTCTGTTGAACTTGCTATATACCTTGCACTTTGTTTACATCACGGTAATAGTAATTAAGTTGTACTTATGTTGTGGACCTTTTGATGTTTTGTTTGGTTTTCTATGTGTAATCTCTGCGGTGTATGTTTGTTTCGTGGTTGGTACAGCTTGCAGTGACATCAATCTGAGCGGGTTCCTGGTTGGCGCGCGCTTGAATGTAATCTACATTTTATTTACACTATACACTATACATTATTTATATTACATACTTTCGTTTACACCTATATATTTTATGTTAAAATGTTTTAAAGGGCGGCTATATTACTATATCGAATTTGTTAATGTTTATTTTACACACTCATACACGTTTCTTTACCTATTAAATAACGGCTACTTTACTGTATCGAATTTGTTTATGTTTATTTTGCACACCCATATACTGGACTCATTTTTGGACTGTTTGAACCTTACTCAGCTGATGCCTACGCCGACACATTTTACAAATAACAGCTCGTCTCCAATCGATTTGGTGTGTACGGACGCAAAGGTTACTAATATCTCAGTGGATCCGATCGGAGCACTCGGGGCGCATTCGTTCATTTCCACAACCTTCCAATTTAAAAAAGAAAAAATACGACCTATGACCATAACTTGTAGAAATATTACACATCCCTTTTTATCGTCGATGTTAGTTTTTCAATGTAATATTCGATTGTTTTAATAAAATCCAGGACGATTTGGACCTTATATCGGTATCGGAATCGGCTGCATGCCATATCGAGGACTGCAGCGCTTTTGTTAAATTACACAAAGATTCTATGTCACTTCTCTGTCAAAATATAAGGAGCATTGTTAAGAATTTTAACGACATGCTAACGCTCATAGAAAGAAGTAGAACGTCTTGGGACTTTATAATTCTGACGGAGTGCTGGCTTCATAACTCACCTCCCCTACCAACAATTCATAATTATAACTGTGTTGCCACTAGTCAACCGGAGACGCAGAATGAGGGTGTCGTGGTGTTTTATAAATCCCACCACTCAGTCTCAGTCTCTGAACCCACAGTTCAAGATGCAAATTGTCTATTATTGACAATTAACAGTGATGTCGTTATCATTGCAGTATATCGGTCGCCAGCCACTCGGAATGCTTCTGCCTTTTTGGATTCTATGAATGAGGTACTGAAATCCGTATCCTCCTATAATAACATAATAATGACCGGGGATATTAATATTGACATTTCGGATAACAACAATGACTCTTGGGCTAATGAATACCTGACTATGTTTGCTTTTCATGGTATGTTACCGGCACACACTCTCCCTACGCGACAAGGTACCTCATGTCTTGATCACCTTATGCTGAAAACGAGAAAACCTGCTTACTGTTACATAGCAAATACTTCGGTAACTGATCATGACACTGTGTTGTTTTTTCTCGAGAATAACAATTTTTGCAATTATTCTCGAAGAAAATGGAAGTTTACACGTGTTTTTAACTATGACAAGATAACTTCAGACATATCTCAGGCTGATTTCAGCCCAGTTTATAGCTCCTCACAAGTTAATGATGCTACAAACTACTTCATCAACACCCTCAGCTGTATTATTGCACAAAACTCTTTCCTAAAGGTAGTACCGAATCGTAAAAGATTGCGCAAGCCTTGGATGACCGCAGGGCTCCTTAAATGTCTGCGTAATCGTGACAATTTACATTTAAAATTAAAAAAAGAACCTCTGAATGATGTTCTAAAAATTACTTTCAAGAGGTATAGAAATTTTTGCTCAAACATGATTAAAGCTGCCAAAAATGCCTACGATAAAAACCAAATAGATAACGCACAAAAAAACACTAAAAAGCTGTGGGAAGCTATTAAATCCATCACAAACACATCCAAACTAAAATCTTCTGCCGATGCTCTTGTATCTGCTACAAATCCAACACACTCTGTTAATGAAGTTAATGGCTACTTTGCAAATATAGGTCGTACATTAGCGGAAAACATTTCTACATCTCATGCTTTACCTCGCCCTTCAACTGTCAACGATACCTCCTTTCCTAATTCATTCGCCCTATTAGAAACCGATGATATTGAGTTGAATAATTTGATTGAGAATCTGAGAGGTGATTGTGCCGCGGGTTGCGATGACATATCTGGCAATTTTATCAAAAAATACAAGAGCTATCTTACTCCCCTTCTGTCACATATATTTAACCTTGCCTTTACATCCGGGATATTTCCAGATGCATTCAAATTAGCAGTAGTACTTCCTATACACAAGGGCGGCGACAGGTATCGTCTTAACAATTATAGACCCATCTCAATCTTACCAACCCTGTCTAAGTTACTTGAGAGGCTTGTGAACAGTAGGCTGGTCAAGTTTCTTGAAATAAACAGCATCCTCTCCTGCTCTCAGTATGGTTTTCGTTCCGGACTCTCTACAGGCCACGCAGTGCTAAACCTCACCAACTACATCATCTCTAACTTGGACAGGCATCAGAGGGTCATAGGTATCTTCCTGGACCTAGCTAAGGCGTTTGATACGATATCTGTCCCCACTCTTTTAATTAAACTTGAGCGTATAGGAATCAGAGGTATCCAGCTTGCGCTATTCGAGAGTTACCTTACTGGTAGACGCCAACGCGTTAAAATTGCTGAATGGTCTAGCATCGACCTTCCCATTACATACGGGGTCCCCCAGGGCAGTATCCTAGGTCCTACCCTATTTCTTATTTATATAAACGACTTGTGTCTTCTGAAAATACCTAATGCATCCATTTTTTCATATGCTGATGATACTGCCCTGCTATTTCATGGTGACTCGTGGGAGTCGGTTTATCTGCATGCACAGGGTGGTTTCGACCTTGTCACCAATTGGTTGACCCACAACCTGCTCACTTTAAATTCAGATAAAACGAAATATCTTACCTTTTCCCTTTCAGAGGCCGGCAAGTCCCGTTTACCCTCCCTTCCATTAATAGCACACTCTTGCAAATTACATCACAGGTCAATCTGTAACTGTCCCCGTATCTCTCGTGTCGACTGCATTAGATATCTGGGTGTACTTATTGACGATTGCCTGTCTTTTCGTGCTCACATAGACGCGCTTACCTCTCGAGTCCGGAGGCTAATTTATGTATTCAAGTCTCTCCGTCATGCTGCCGATACTAATACTATGCGGCTTGTATATTTGGCTCTTGGTCAATCAATTATGGAATACTGCATAATTGCCTGGGGCGGATCTGCTAAAACACATCTTTTAAAACTAGAACGTGCACAACGTGCACTCCTGAAAGTGGGCTGGAAGCTACCTTTCCGTTTTCCAACCACAGATCTTTATAAAATTTGTAATGTTCTCTCTATACGAAAATTGTTCATTTCGAATATTCTTTTGACTACTCACTCCCAAATTAGTTACGATCCGACCATGTTTGACGGTAAACGGCGTAAGCATAGTGTTTGTCCTCCTTTTTTGACTAATTGTCGATCTGCACAACGCAGTTTCCCTTTTCTTAGCGGCTACATATACAACAAGGCAAACAATATACTTAACATATATCCTCTGTGTAAATCTAAATGTAAAAAAACGGTCAGGAACTGGCTTCTTGACATGGACTATGATAGCACTGAAGAATTACTGCACGTTTTATCTTAAATCTCGCATAGGTACATTGTTGGGTACTTCGTCGTTGTCGGCTTTCGGTAATGTCTACATATTCTTCACAGCACACCAACTTACATACACAAACACACAACTTCAGATACACTCACACTAAAGACATGAACACTCACACACTGTACATTCATTTTCACAATTGACAAACACATTCTCATCATCCATTCTCATATAATCCACTCTGGTTTGGTGTTGGTCTACCCTCAGACCACGGAATTTGTTTCTTTTTATTGCTTGTATTCTATTGCATTATAATTACCTACTATATTATTGTGACATCGGGTGTGAACCTGGAGATCTGTCATACAGGTCTTGAACCCAGTATAGACTCCAGCTCTCACAAAGGTTGAACCTATTGTAACTTAAATAGTGATATAATGTTTCTATGTATGTACCTTTTTGAGAGAAATAAATTCCTTTATTATTATTATTATTATTCCGCCCGAAGGTTTTTATTTTTTTTTTTTAGGGGGGAAAATCATCGAATGACTGCTCCCGCCTGGGTGAGGCGGGAGGGAGTGTCATACTCTTACTGACTAAAAACGACCCCGTTCCTTCTCTTGCACGTCGAGCCGGAGCCCCGGTTACCCGTTAGGTTCTCCGCGACCGACGTACTGAAGAGAAAAACATAGCCAATTTGTGTATAGTCCTAAAATGGCTGATGTACATATTTTGTTTCTATAAATACCTATGCAACATAAAGAATCAGTGAGTGCAATTACTGCTACCCGGTGTCTAACATTAGAGAAAGGAATCGTCAACAATTTTATTGTATACACAATAGGGTAGATGCGTAATTTTTATTTTAATGCCCGTCTGGTAGATTATCTTAAATCATTAGACATGTATTTTTTATTTTCTTACAGAAACGAATACTTTCGACGATATATTGATTTGAAGTGTCGCGTGACGTCACTATGTATTCGTACGCATCACTATCACAGGGGAACGTTCCTAGAAGACTGGCAGCATTGCCACGTTGAATGGCAATGCTTATTTTCTGTCCGAAGAAATAGCCAGCCCTCTGGTCACGTGTAGAGTCGATTAGCCTACGGGCGATTTCTTTAAACACAGAGTGTGCACTGCGACCCCATGGCTCAAGTGTTTCGACCCCAAACGGCTCAAAACAGTAGTTACCCACTAGATCTAAGTCTTGTTTTATAATACGACAATATAAAAAAACACGTGTCTAATATTTTTTAACACGTTAAACGCCATGGGGGTCGCCGGTGACCGACGTTAGCGGATGATTCCACACTTAAATAAAAAAAGAAAAACCCAGTAATACTTTAGCTTACCCGGGAATCGAACCCTCGACCCCTTGCAGTGGCACTTGCGACCACTCGGCCAACGAAGCAGTCAAGTTAGTCAGTCAAGCAAAGAAACACTTTCGCATTTATAATATTAGTAATGATATATTTCGTAGTCAACAAACCGATTACAGTATAAAAATAAACCCATACAACCATAAATTATTGATCTCAACGATGAAATCACACGGCTACATACCAAATGATACACTGCCAGTATAAACTGACTGTTAAATGTACGGAGAGATAATACAGTCTGAGACTATGATATACTGGTTTTATACAGTTTGATGTGTATCCCATGTCCATTACAGTCAAAATGGAATCTCCATAAAATGAGAGTGAAGTGTAGAATGACGTTTCGATCAAGTATTTACATGAATAAAAATTTTTTATTGTCTGTATGAGTACAAACATCTCAATAAGTAAAAATAACCTGTCAAAATATTTGTTGGCGTATTACTCCCGAATGAATGGACAAGAGGAGAGTGCCCGAAAAACCCAGAGTCGATTCGAATCAATCATGGACGGTGTAACAGACCGTAAGTAAGACGTCACAAATACGCTATTCGTTTTGACCAAAACTATAACCGAACGGGTCAGGAGCCTGCAGAATATTACAATTTTGAATGGGCATG